CACTTCTATCAATCGAAAGGAGACTGCGACCACACCAGAGGCCACAACATCTTGGTCTTCATATATTCTCGCTTATAAACTTCAGACAATATTCCATGTGAGCAAAGTGCGAAGTAACCATCCAGGTACCGCATGAACACTTGTGCCTGTAGCGGTAACATCTTTAAGTTCTTTTCTATTTAATTCATCTATAACTTTGCCAAAAGTTGGGAGAGCTGCGATCCCATGGAATGTCCAAATATTTGTTAATAGATGGTTCCGTTGAATGTAAAATGGGTTCAATAAACTTATTGTCAAGTTAATTAGTCGTGTTAACGACTCCACCCTGATCCGTTTTGATTCCAAGATATTATTTTCTCGGTTGAGACTTTCCAACAGGGCCGTTAGCGCACTTTCTCCTTAGATATTTGTATATATGGATTCCACATCGAAACTTACCAATAAGTTTGCTTTTTCCAGTGCCTTATTGGCAAGTTTTGATTTAGATTAAGTTTAAAAAAATTTACAGATTTGTAGGCTATACTGACACATCAAGAACTGATGCTGAAATCGAATATGGTCACATAACCCTTGCGTAGATTAAAAATTTATACACATTGTGGCAGGAATTTGAAAAAAATTTTCCGGAGAAATTAAGACAATTAATCTTTTGGGTGAGAGTTACACATTATTTTCTTGTAACCTCACCATTTTTGCTGATTACTCGATGAGGAAGGAGGGACATCTCGTCCCTAGATAGTCTATTCAGGTTTCGCGCACCGAGTAATATCAGACCCAATTTTCATCACTATTTATATAGTAAACCTTACAAAAGTGAATAATTTCAACTATAATCTTTTATAATTTTTTCAGTTTTCTTCACATTATCGTGTTATCAAATCAGCTCGATATCGCCTCACAAAACGGTGAGTTTTTGGTGTTCATGCTAATAATATACATCGCACTTCCTTGAAAACAAATTTTTTTGTTAATTCTACCTGAAATTGAACTATTGAATGCTATTTTATTTCAATCACTTCTTTTGCTTACGACTTTCTTGAATAAAAGAAGAGTTGGCTTGATTTTAGTTGTCAATATGGTCAAAATTAGCTATTAATCTTAATATCTCTCTTTTTCCACCCATATTTTTCGCACTTTGAGTTTAGGGATATTATACTTCTCATCATTAATTACATTTATATGCATCTCTAATAATTGTTTATGCTTGCTTAATTCCTGGCGTTCAAATTATTCTTAACGATGCTGATTTTGTCTATAATATTTGACAGTAAATATACTTTCATAATGTCAGTTGTTATTATTTGCTTTGTCTTAACTTATAAACCAATCCTATCCGTCACGTATGCTGTTTCACCATTCCTTGTATCTACTCCATTAAATTAATTTGTTTCTACCTTACAATTAATTGACCTTGGTTTCTAAACTTCAATTGCTCAGTTATCACATTCTCATGATAGCATCAATTTTTAGTGTTTTTTCATTTAGTTGGATTATACTGCTCTTTTTATGTCTCATTTGGCTATTTGTACATTGCACTGCTTTATTTAGCTACAACCATTGGCTAAGTATGGATCTTATTCAAAGCATCCGGTATCTTGCTGAGGCAAACGACAATTTTCGGGCTCTTCGCCAACGACATTTCTCGAAAAAAGTTCCATCAACAGACAATGCAAATTTCAGTCAGCCTTTAATTGACCTAGAGACCTCCGATGGAAGAAACCCAGCCAAGACATCATTCCTGCTGGTCCGTCATGACATTGCCACTTTGACTTCGGGTGGACTGGTCGCTTTCCTCCTCGAGTTGCTTATTTATAAGGTGGGATATAAGTTGAGATATGCCTCTTATCTTAGTGTATAAAAGCCTTTCTTCCCCTGAAATCATACCTTCCTTATCCTGTTAGTGGTAAATTCATTCTGTAATTTAACATGTCTAATTTATCCT